CTGAAAGAAGGCTGCACCCTCAACAGAAGGGAGGCGCACACTCCGAATGGAATCGGCATAGGGAACAGATGCTGCTGCAGGTGGAAATGGCTGCACAGAGCACCCGCTCAAGTGTCTGAGAAACAAGGAGCCGTTGATGCCATCACCTTCCATACCTGAGCTGGGGTAGTGGGGAGCCTGTCATCACCACCACCACCACCACCGGGACAAAGAGCCCCAGAACCACACAACGAGCTTACAAACTCACCGAGGCGATGACCGAGCAATGTGCGTGGAGTGATGCGAACAAGCAGACATCAGGGCCACGCGTGGCGTTGGTTTTGTGCATCAACCTGAGCGTGCCCAGGGTGCCCAGATGGCTGGTTCTGCATTATTTCTGTGAGATGCATGTTTGCCTCTGGACTGAGTTGGAGACCCATCCTGGCCAGTGTGGGGAACACCACCTCATCCACCCAGGGCCCGAGTAAAACAGCAAGGCGGGGAAAACTGGGTTCACTCCACCTTTCTGGCTGATGGGCCAGTGACATTTGTCTTCTGCAGCCCGTGCTCCTGGGTCTCAGCTCCTCAGACCCGGGTGGGATCTGCACCCTCCGCTTCTCAAGTCTTCAAGCCACACCCTCCCAGGATTCTAGCTTGCAGGCTGTGGGTCCTGGGGCTTCTTGGACTCTGTAGCCCCTGCAACAGCCCTCCCGCTGGAGACACAGGCACACCCGGCTGGCTGTCTCCCTGGAGAGCCCTGACCAGAAGCCGCCCCTAAAAGTGGTCTTCAGAGTTTCTTTCTAGCCCTAAGATCCTAGCGCCCCTCCTACAATTCTAGGCGGAAAGGTGAATGGAGACCAATGGACAGAGTTGTGTGCGAGGACACGCCAGGGAGCAGCACTGGGCAGGAGGGCACTAACACTCACTAAGCAAAGAATCAATGTTGCTTGCCACAAAAATGAGAATCGTCAAGATTTCCTCAAACAGAAATGAGTTTGTTTCATGATTTGCTCTTAATACATAAGAAAGCATAAAAGTAGGCCTATTAACAATTACATAAGTCTTTAGAGGCCCTTGAACTACTTCTGTCCCTTTGTGTTTTCATACAAAATAAGCCTGAGGTTAAGGAGAATAACATCACTGGCCACAACTGGGGCCACGTGAGGACACAGCTTACACCCCCTGAGGTCCCTGGGTGCCCCGAGTCCTTCCCTTGCTATTCCAACAATGAAGATGCCAGGAAAGGAGTCGGAGAGCCGGGGATGGAGCAATACTCACCCACGGAGGCGAAGGCCAACAGCGGCCACCACCGAGGACCTCCTTTCCCACCCTGAGGGCAGCTCACCCAGGGAAACGAAGGCTGACACCGGCCACCACTGAGGGCCTCAAGGGCTCTCCCCACCCTGAAGGCGGCTGTGATCACATTTCTCATCGCACCAAGAGACCCGTGTATTGAGCACAAACCTTTTCAACCTTCGAATGAATAAGGAATCACAACACAGACATTCCCTCAATCCAAATGGCCAGCCCACAAAACAGACACGTAATCAAACATGTTTCCTGTGGGAAAATCAGTCAGTCCCTGGGGCCTCGCGCCAGGGATGAGGGAGCAACATGAGGAGATGCCGCAGCCCCAGCCTGGCTCTTCCCTCTACAGCTCCTTTTCCCTCCTCTTCCCACCACCCCTTCCCACCCCCTCCTAGCCTCAGAGGCTCCTTCCTCAAATTCTCTCCCCTTGATGAAGTCATTCATGCCCAAAATACAAGGCAAAGTCATGGGGGCTCAAGAGAAAATCCATACCGTGGCTCGCGTTTTAGATTCTCATAAGTTTGAGAATAACCAAGCAAGAATCTTTGGCATCTGAATGTGGTCTGAATTCATCTGAGCTCAATGTCTGGCACTGGCCCGGAGTGGATCATGGGTGTTTTGGACATCTTCGTAACTCTACACCAATTATTTTGAAACACACTAGCAGAATAGAACCATGTGAATAGCTACTTCACAGTTAAAAGTAGGAAAAGACTCCAAAAGTTGCCCTCAAGGAACATCCTTCCCACGAGGTGTTTCTGCATCGGGCCCTTCAGGCACAGACAAGGCCCCCGGGCCCAATTTCCTCATCCCTGCATCATAAAGCAGCAAAGACCATGGGGAATAAAGCAAGTGAAGGAGTCAGTCCCACACAAAACGGGCTCCAGAAGCCACAGCCACTCTCCCAGTGTGGGAGCCAAGTTCAGAGACCTGGAAACACCAGCGTTCCCAGGGAGGAGGGCAGAACAAGTCATTTCCCCCTAGTTTAGGGAGACACCACCCCACGTCCTCTGGCCTTAATAGAAGAGAGACTTCACATAAATGATTTCAATGACTCCACCACACACAGAAAGTGGGCTAAGGGCTAACACAGCCATTTAAATGCCTGGCAAAAACACATTAAATGAACACGCAGATAAACAAGGTTCTCCTGTTATCCACGAAATAGTTAGAAACAAATCCAGTAAGCAATCTCTTTGCAATCAAAAGACCAATTCAGAGGTGCAGATTAAAAAGAAACATACAACTGAACCCTTAATACACACCAAGAACCAAGTTCCAAGGAAGTGTTACCACATCACCACCTCCCAGCTGAAGGAAGCAGCACTGGCCACTGACCAGCTGTTCACTCGTGGGTCAGTGAATGAATGGCAGTGCCGTCCAGGACAACGATGAGATGTTAACCTGAAAAGGGCAAAATGGCAGAGGCTGGAGGGACCTTCCGGGTAATCCGGCCCCTCAGTGGACAGAGGACCCCCGTAAGGCCACAGAGCCCAGAGCCCCAGTGTGTTCGGGGCAAGCACTCAACTGCAACCCTGATGATGTCCGAACACCTTCTGCCCTTCTGCGTCTCTGCCCCACTAACAGGGAATCCGTGAATGCTAAGGAAATGTAATGCATTTCACAATACATGTAGATTTTTAGCAAATTAAAGATAGTGACAAACTTTGAGAATTAACCAAAATATGGTTCAGTGAATGCCCAAACTCAAAGCTAGTCTCCAAGAGGTGATAATCTGTGTGTGGTGGTTAACGCCTGTAAATCCCAGCAGTTTGGGAGGCTGAGGCAGGAGAATCACTTGAACCTAGAAGGTTGAGGGTGCAGTGAGCAGTCATTGTACTACTGCACCCAACCTGAGAAACAGAGTGAGACTGTCAAAAACAAACAAACAAAAACAAATTAAAGGAGTTCAAATGAATTCACCCATACCCTTTAAATTTTCATTTGGGTACATGGGGTGTTTGAGTTCCTTTTTCCCTTGCAATATATGAATAATCTAATAGTTAAATATAATCTAACAATTAAATGGGAAAATTTAATTATTTTCCCATTTCATTACTTCCTATCTCAGGGAAAAAATTAAAATTATTCCCTGTTTCAGGGAAAAAGCTAAAAATCATTTTAAACCTTCCTTCCACAAAACGGTATACTCAGTCATCTCTATCTGCTTTATCATGCGGAATTCAGCTTCACATGTCTACAATACAGTTTTTGTTAAACAGCGTTTATGTAGACAGGCAAGAGAAAGAAACATTTTGTCTATGTAGAAGCAGCAGAAGACATGTTTTAACAGAAAAGGGAGAAGATACCACCGTGTGAATCTGGAAATTCTGTCCTCATCTTGTCCACACACACAGAAAACACCCAAGCACGTGCCTAGTGTCCAACAGGAGCACAGAAAGGACAGGGATCACTCCAGTTGTTTAATGACCAGCCCCCACATGTCACCGCCACATAACAAAATCCGCACGGCAACTTCAGCACGTTTCATTCACGATTCCATGGAAATCAGGCTGAAGAACATACAGATGTTTTGCCCACATTTAAAAATCCAAGTGTGGGACTCATAGAAATAAAACACATTATGGGTTCGCTTAACTTTTCCAAATTTTTACTTGGAGAAACCTATAAAGTTCTTGTCAGTTACATCCTTAGTTTTTCAATAATTTTTAAATGCAAAGGTCGGGCAAGACTGGTAAAGGGGTACACACATATGGCCCGGTGCGGTGGCTCACACCTATAATCCCAGCACTTTGGGAGGCCGAGGCGGGCAGATCACGAGGTCAGGAAACCGAGACCATCCTGGCTAACACGGTGAAACCCCGTCTCTACTAAAAATACAATTAGCCAGGCGTGGTGGCAGGTGCCTGTAGTCCCAGCTACTCGGGAGGCTGAGGCTGGAGAATGGCATGAACCTGGGAGGCAGAGCTTGCAGTGAGCTGAGATTGTACCACCACACTCCAGCGTGGGTGACAGAGGGAAACTGTCTCAAACAAACAAAAAAAAAAGGAAGTACACACACTCATCCATTCTTCTCTCAGAGAGATGGGCCCTATTTTAAGATTCCAGATGTAAATGTGGTTCTCACCCTGCCTTTGAGAGGATGGGCTGTGTTTTAAGGGTGAACACACTTTCCTCCATGCACCAACGATGCACCATGGGGGACAGTGCTGCCACCTCCTGCCCAGTCTCTGCTCAGGGTGGGGCAAAGGGAGCTCATTTGTCTCCCGTGTACACCATCAACAGGCCAGGTGCTCAGAAGAGGGCTTTCAGGACTAGCTGTAGGCATTCGTTAACAGGGCAGGCAGGGCCACGTGGGTGTGGCGGTTTGATTCCGGAGCTCTGCGGAGACACGGAACCTTCCAGGGAGGCGTGGAGCGCCAGCACCGTGTCTTCGCTCCACTCGCCTGTCTCCGGAGCGGGCCACAGTGGAGACTCCCCCTACGTTGCATGATGCAGGCCTCCACCGTCAGGCCGTGACGCCGGGGATGCAGTCTTTCTCCGGGCTTTCGCTCGGCCCTTCCGCGCGGAAGTGAACGCGACCTACACACCTGCGTGTGTGAGCCTATGATGGCAATGGCGACAACCACGGGCTCGGCCTCCTTCGCGGAGAGAGGGCCCGGAAACCTCAAGACTCTCACGGGGGGGTCCAGTTCCATACTCCACTCCACCCTTCCGGGCTGGCTTCTGCCTGCTGAAAACGCCCTTGGAGCCCCGAGAGCGGCTTCCAGTGCCCGCAGAAACCCTGGAGAGGCCCAGAGAGCCAGCCCCCGAAGCCCGCTCCCCGCCCCCGGCCCCCTCCCCCCTCCCCCCACCCCACTCCCCACTTCCCGGGCTTCTCCGGCCCCACCCACACCCAGGCCACAGTGACCTGGGCCCTGTGGGTCCCGGCTTCCGAGGGCGGGCAGGCGCTGGGCTCCTCAGGCATTCCTGAAGGGGTGGAGCCTGTGGGCCTTTATAAGGGCCGCTGGCCGGCTGGGCCGGCCTCCTGGCTGGACCTGCTCGCCCTGCACAGGCCGACTGAGGGGCACGGGAGCCCGCCGGCCTCTCTCTGCCCGTGTCTGTCGGCGGAATTCCGGCCGGGTCTCCCCGCGATGGCTCTCCCGACACCTGGCGACGGCGCCCTCCCGGCGGAGGCCCGAGGACGAGGACGGCGAAGGAGACTCGTTTGGACCCCGAGCCAGAGGGAGGCCCTGCGAGCCTGCTTCGAGCGGAACCCGTACCCGGGCATCGCCACCCGGGAAGAGCTGGCCCGGGCCATCGGCATTCCGGAGCCCAGGGTCCAGATTTGGTTTCAGAACGAGAGATCACGCCAGCTGAGGCAGCACCGGCGGGAATCTCGGCCCTGGCCGGGGAAACGTGGCCCGCAGGAAGGCAGGCGAAAGCGGACCGCCGTCACCCGGTCCCAGACCGCCCTGCTCCTGCGAGCCTTCCAGCAGGATCGCTTTCCGGGCATCGCCACCCGGGAAGAGCTGGCCAGAGAGACGGGCCTCCCGGAGTCCCGGATTCAGATTTGGTTTCAGAACCGGAGGGCCAGGCACCCAGGCCAGGGTGCCGGGGCAGCGGCGCACGCAGGCGGCCTGTGCCACGCGGCCCCCGGCGGGGGTCCCCCCGCTCCCTCGCCGGTGGCCTTCGCCCACCCCGGTTCGTGGGGGACGGGGCTTCCCGCGTCCCACGTGCCCTGCGCGCCCTGGACGCTCCCACCGGGGGCTTTCGTGAGCAAGGGAGCAGGGCCCATCGCCCTGCTGCAGCCCAGCCAGGCCGCGCAGGCAGCCGGGTTCCCCCATGCAGCCCCGGCAGGCGCGGATTGGGAATTTTCCTATGCTGCCCTGGCGTCTCCGGAAGTGGTGCTCTCCCATCCTCAGACTCCGGTTTGATCCAGTCTGATTTGGTTTTATCCGGTTTGATCTGGTCTGATCCTTTCCGATCCCATCTGTTCCAGTTTGATGCGGTCTGGTCCGTTTTTATGCGGTCTTGTCCGTTTGTATCCGGCTTGATCCGGTCTCATCTGGTTTGATCCGTTTCGTTGCAGTCTTATCTTGTTTGATCCGGTCCAATCCGGTTTTATCCAGTGTGATTTTTTCCAATCCGGTCTGATCCGGTTAGATGCGGTCCGATCCGGTTTTATCTGGCTTGGTCTGGTTTGATGCGGTCTGATCCGGTTTGATGCAGTCTAATCCGGTTTGATGTGGTCTGATCCGGTTTTATGCATTTTGATCCGGTCTGATCCAGTTTGATCCGGTTTGATCTGGTCTGATCCTGTTTGTTCCGGTCCGATCCGGTTTTATCCGGTTTGATTCAGTCTGTACCGGTCTGGTCTGTTCTTGTCCGGTTTGGTCTGGTCTGGTCCGGTTTGGTCTAGTCTGATCTTGTCTCGTCTTGTCTGGTCCGGTCTAGTCTGTTATGTTCTAGTCTAGTCTGATCTGGTTTAGTTTCGTCTGGTCCGGTTTGGTCTAGTCTGGACTGGTCCGGTTCAGTCTGGTCTGGTTTAGTCCGGTTTGGTCTGGTCTGATCTGGTTCAGTTTAGTCTGTTCTGGTCTGGTCAGCTTTAGTCTGGTCTGGTCTGTTCCGGTTTAGTGTGGTCTGGTCTAGTCCGGTTTGGTCTGATCTGGTCTCGTCTGGTCTGGTCCGGTTTGGTCTGGTCCAATCCGTTTTGGTTCGGTTTGGTCTGGTTTCTTCCTGTTTGGTCTAGTCTCCTCCTGTTTGGTTCGGTTTGGTATGGTTTCGTCCAGTTTGGTCTGCTCTGGTCCGGTTTGTCTTAGTATGGTCTGGTTTCTTCCGGTTTGGTCTGGTCTGGTCTGTTTTGGTCCAGTCTGATCTGGTCTCATCCAGTTTGGTCTAGTCTGATCTGTTCTCGTCTGGTCTGGTCCGGTTTGGTCTGATATGGTCTTGTCTCGTCTGGTCCGGTTGGTCTGGTCTGGTCTCGTCCAGTTTGTTGTGGTCTGATCCGCTTTGGTGCGGTTTGCTCTGGTTTCATCCGATTTAATCCGGTTTGGTCCGGTATGGTCCGGTTTGGTCCAATTTGGTCTGGTTTGGTCTGGTCTGGTCCGGTTTGGTGTGGTCTTATCCGGTATGGTCCAGTTGGTCTGGTCTGGTCTCGTCTGGTCTCATCTGGTCTGGTCCACTTTGGTCATGTTCTGTCCAGTTTGTTCCGGTCTGAGCCGGTTTGACCTGGTTTGATCTGGTCTGGTTCGGTCTGGTCCAGTTTGGTCTGGGTCTGGTCCGGTCTGGTCCCATCTGTTCCTGTTTGATGTGGTTTGAATCAGTCTGGTTCTGTTTGGTGCAGTTTGGTCCAGTTTGTTCCGGTTTGGTGGGGTCTGATCTGGTCTTGTCTGGTCTGGTCCAGTTTCGTCTGGTCAGGTCTGCTTTGGTGTGGTCTGATCTGGTCTCATCTGGTCTGGTCCGGTTTGATCTGGTTTGGTCTGGTCCGGTTTGGTGTGGTCTGATCTGGTCTGGTCTGGTCCAGTTTGGTCTGGTCTGATCCGGTCCAGTTTGATCTGGTTTGATCCGGTCTGCTTAGGTTTGGTCTGGTCTGGTCCGGTTTGGTGTGGTCTGATCCAGTCTGGTCCGGTTTGGTCCAGTTTGGTCCGGTTTCATCGGTTTGATCCGGTTTGTTCTGGTCTGGTCCCATTCTGTAGGTTGCCTGTTCACTCTGATGGTTGTTTCTTTAGCTGTTCAGAAGCTCTTTAGTTTAATTAGATCCCATTAGTCTATTTTGGCTTTTATTTTCATTACTTTTGGTGTTTTTTTCAAGAAGATTTGCCTATGTCTATGTCCTGAATGCTACTACCCAGGTTTTCTTCTAGGGTTATTATGGCTTTAGGACTAACATTTAAGTCTCTAATCCATCTTGAAATAATTTTTGTATAAGGTTTAAGGAAGGGATCCAGTTTCAGCTTTCTACATATGGCTAGCCAGTTTTCCCAGCGACATTTATTAAATAGGGAATCCTTTCCCCATTTCTTGTTTTTGTCAGGTTTCTCAAAGATCAGATGGTTGTAGATATGTGATGTTATTTCTGAGGCCTCTGTTCTATTCCATTGGTCTATATCTCTGTTTTGGTACCAGTACCATACTATTTTGGTTACTGTAGCCTTGTAGTATAGTTTGAAGTCAGGTAGCGTGATGCCTCCAGCTTTATTCTTTTGGCTTAGGATTATCTTGGCAATGCAGGTTCTTGTTTTGGTTTCATATGAATTTTAAAATCGTTTTTCCAATTCTGTGAAGAAAATCATTGGTAGCTTGAATGGGATGGCATTGAATCTGTAAATTATCTAGGGCAGTATGGCCATCATGATATTGATTCTTCCTATCCATGATCATGGAATGTTCTTCCATTTGTTTGTGTCCTCTTTTATTTCATCAAGCAGTGGATTGTAGTTCTCCTTGAATAGGTCCATCACATCCCCTGTAAGTTGGATTCCTAGGTATTTTATTCTCTTTGTAGCAATCAGGAATGAGAGTTCACTCATTACTTGGCTCTATATTTGTCTGTTATGGATATATAAGAATGCTTGTGATTTTTGCACATTGATTTTGAATCCTGAGTCTACGCTGAAGTTGCTTGTCAGCTTAAGGTGATTTTGGGCTGAGACGATGGGGTATTCTAAATATACTATCATGTCGTTTGCAAACTGGGACAATTTGATATCCTCTTTTCCTAATTGACGGGGGTGCCTCCCGAGCCCGAGCCAATGGCGAGAGAGACCCGCCAGCACACCACCCGGCCTGCCGGGCCCGCTTGCTCGGTGGGACAGCCCTGGGCCACGAGGCTGAGGCACATGAGGGCCAGGGTGCATTCATGCCCCGCCATCCAGGGGTCCGTGGGGGCTGGGGGCCCAGGCCAGCCCCAGGTCGCGGGCGAGCGTGGGAGCCCCAGCGACAAGGCGCTCGCCTCAGTCCGCGCCGGAGGCCTCCGCGGGCGGGGAGCAGGAGAGATGCAAGCCATCGGGCGCCCTCCCTGCCCCCGCTCCAGGAGCCTGGGCGCGCTGGTCTGCACTCCTCAGCCTGCTGGCTGAGCTCTGGGAACCCCGAGTTTCTGCAGCAGGCGCAACCTTTGCTAGAAACAGGGGCCTGACGGAGCTGCAGGGCTGGAGAAAGCCGCTGCTGGAGCGCTCCTCTCCTCAGCGAGAAGGAATGCCGGAGCTCTGCTGGAGGAGCTTTGGGACCCGGGGATGGGAGGCAAGGGATCGGGAAGGCGGTGGCACTCCTTTGGCGGTGGGCACCGAGGCACGGTGTGGAGGAAGGCCTGTTTCCCTCATGGGCCGCCAGCCTGGCATTCCTGCCTTCCCAGGACTGGTGGCGACGTAATGCGGCCGTGTGATGGCCAGAGACTCCACACCGAGGAGAGCTGAGCATCGGGGGACTCCAGAGCGGCCCAGGTTCCAGGAGGACGGTCTACTGCGCATGCGCGGAGTGTGCGGGCAGCGGCCCTAGGCAGATAGGGCCCGGCCCTGCAGAGCTCATGCTTTTCCACCACCGAGCCAGCTTGATCCCCCACCCACTCTCCAAGCACAGCGCGCGGCCCTTTCCACCAGCTGTGTGAATACGCCACCACCACCTGCACCCCGACACCCACAGCCACACCCACACACCCAAACACCACCCCCCCACCCCCACCACGACCGCCAGCCCACCACCCTGGGCTCTCTGCACTGGCGGCTGGCTGAGAGAACCTCCATGACCCAGCCTGTGCAGACCGCGTCCGGCCTCTCCACCTCCGGCTCGCCTCCTCTGTGCCTCCGCTCCACCGTCACTCGCCCACCCACGTGCCCATACAGCCTCCCCGCTATGCCATGGAGCACCTGGCCGCTCGCCACCAGATCCACAGAACCAGGATTACTGGCCGCTCCATGGCGGGAGGCAATGAGCAGACACATGCAGAAGGTGAAGCAAGACCTCGGGGAGGCAACAGCGGAGGAGCCGGAGCGTTGGAAGGGAGAAGGAGGGGGAGACGGAGGACGGAGAGAGGGAGGGAGTGGGGGAGCAGAGAAGAGAAGAAGCGGGCTGTGGAGAATGGTGGGGGCGGAGGAGCAAGAGGTCAGAGGACTCCGGCAGGAAAAAGCGGTCTCCGGCCTCCAGCATAGCAACAGGACCACCCCTCCCCCCACGCCCCGCGCGCGGGGAAGCAGGCGCGCCCATGCGGCAGAGAGGCTGAGCCCAAGCCATAAGTCAGCATGGGGCACATCTTCAAAGGCAGGCTGACCATGTCAAGCAAAGGAGCCCAGACTGGAGTGGCCGTCCGGTTTCTACCATACGCTTTAAAGACCTCCCCTCCCCAGGCTGAGCCCTGCAATGCAGGCGCGGGCGGAGCAGCCCGTCCGCGGTCTTCTCGGGCGTGGCTGAATCGCGGATTCCGCGTTGTAACTGCGTTGCCGTCTGCCCGAGGCGGTTGCCTCGTCTCTCTGAAGCCCCGGAAGCCTGGCCGTGTTGACGGTTTGGCTCTGAGCTCTGCGAGACCGGAGCCATCTTCGGGGCGTGGAGCGCCAGCACGCGTGTCTTCTTGCTCCACTCGCCTGTCTCAGGCGGGCCACAGTGAAGACTCCTACGTTGCATGATGCAGGCTCACACATCAGGCCGTGCAGCCTTGAGGATGCAGTCTTTCTCCGGAGCTTCCTTTCTCGGCCCTTGCCTTGTAGGTAGGCAGGGCCCACACACCTGCGTGTGTGAGCCTATGATTAACCCTTGGCGACAACCACGCAGGCTCCAGCCTCCTTGGCGGAGAGGGCCGAGAACCTATGGAAAACTCTACAGAGGGCCAGTTCCCGCCTCACTCACACCCTTCGGGCTGTGGCTACCTGCAGCATCCTGAGGCCCAGCGGCTGATCCCACTTGAAACCCTGGAGAAGCCCAGAGAGCCCAGCCCCCGAGAGGCCGCTCTACACCCCGGCCCCTCCCCCCTCCCCCCACCCCACTCCCCACTTCCGGAGCTACTCAGGCCCCACCCACACCCAGGCCACAGTGCTGGCTGCATGGTCCCGGCACAAGAGGCAGGCGACGCTGGAGGCTCCTCAGGCATTCCTGAAGGGAGTGGGTGTCAGGCGCTATAGGGAGCCGCTGGCAAAGCTGGGCAGCCTCACAAACGACCACTCCTTTCATGATAGCGACTGAGAGGCAGAGCCGCCGGCCTCTCTCTCTCTGCCATTATCTAGCCGGCGATTCAATGAATCTCCCGCGATAGCTCTCCAGCACAAGCGAAACCTCCCGGCGAGCCCAGGGGGGCGAGGCGGCGAAGGAGACTCGTTT